TTTATTCTGGACAATATTTAATTGCTGTCGGCTTATCCTGCCACCGTGCCTAGGTTGTGGTCAAAATCCTCCGGATGTTTTCCGGGGTTTCTTCTGAGCGCCCTCGGGGGCTTCGTTGGAACATTTTTTGGGCCTCTTGCGAGCCGCTTGGGGACCTCGTGGGGACTTCTAGGGGGCCTCTACGTGTGCTGGGGGCCTCTTTGAGGGGCGTCTAGGGGCCTCTTGTTGGCCGCCCGGGGCCGAAGGCTCGAACTGCTCGTTCGGGTGCCCCGTCGGGCCACCCTCTCGGAGCCATTTTGGGGGCCTCTTGGGCAATGTTTGGTGCCTCCTTGGCCGTTGTGGGGCCCTCTTGGCGGCCAATTGGACTGCTTTCCGGCGATCCTCGGCGCCAGCATTTTTTAGGAAAACGGCGACAATCAATGTTTCTTGCGTTGGGGTCGTTTCGGGAGGCCTCCTGGAGGTTTTCGGGCGTCTTGGGGGCATGAGGGGTTGTCTGGGGGCCATCTTGGGCGTCTTGGAGCGATCTTTCGGCGAGTCGGGGCCACCCTGAAACTGTGTTGGGGACCTCCAGGGGCCCTGTTGTCCGCTGTTGGGCCCTCGTGGGGCCGACGAGGTCGCGCGAGGAGACGCCCGTGACCCGAGGGGCCACGAGACGGGCCCCGGGTGCCACGCGGCAAACCCGGGGGAAGATTCGGCCATCTTGGGTCTGGGCCCCGTCTACAGGATCCTCAGGATCGAGGGCTGGGGCTCCAGGGGATCCAGCAAAGGACCCCAGGACACTCCAACTCGTGCCTCGAGGGCACGGTGGCGGATATGTGGTGCAATCCATGTGGATCTGTCTGTATGGTGCAATCTGTGCGGTGCAGTCTTTGTGGTTGTTGTGCAATCTACGTGGTGCGCAATCTCAGCGGTGCAATCTATCTTGGGCAACATCTGTTATGCAGTGGTGCAATTTATGTGGCGCGATCTATGCAGTGCAATTCACTTTGACCGTCTTGAAGCTGTCCTCTCCACTGCTCGTGCAAACATCCCACCATCACACCCGCAACTTGGTCGCAAGACCTCTTAAGACAAGACCGTGAGGGTACGTACCACATGACACTTGGCCACGACACCGACGCCGACGACGACAGCGACAACGACGACGACGGCGCCGCCGACACCGACTACGACGACACCGACGACGTCTCCAACGACTTCGACGACGACACCGACGACACCAACGACGACGATGACGACGTCAACGACGCCGACGACGATGACGACGACGGCGACTACGACGACACCGACGACGACACCGACGACGTCTCCGACGACGACAACGACGCCGACGCCGACGACGACGAAGACGACGACGACGTCGCCAACGAAGACGACGACGAGTGACGAGGGAGGAGGAAGGACGACGACGGCGACAACGACAACGACGACAACGACGAGAGAGGAGGGAGGTCGGCGACTACGCGAACGACGAAGAAGGAGGAAGGACGGCGGCGCCGACGACGACAACGACGAGGGAGGAGGGAAGACGACGACGACAACGGCGACGACGACGACGGCGACGAAATAGGAGGGACGACGACGAGACGCCGACGACGGACGACGACGACGACGAGGGAGGAGGAGGTTGGACGACCACGGCAACAACGACGACGGAAACTACCACGACGCCAAAGAGGACGACGACGACGAACACGAGGAAGACAGAAGACGACGTAGGCGACGACGACGACGACGACGCAAGAGCGCGCGCGCACGCTTTTGTTGAAAATCCGTGTTGCGGAACCTTGTGTTTTGGTAGGTTTTTGTGGACACGATTTTGAAATCCTTCCGAAACCGATGGGTTTTGAAGGTTTTCGGCATACTCGCGCGACGACGCGCGCGTTTGCACTTCGTCTCATTTTTTGCATAGGACTCTCGCGACGGCACACGCGCAAGGGCGTTCGACAGATTTTGACATGCGCGCGCGCGAAGCCCGTTTAATAACATGTTGTGAAAATCTGGAAACATTAAAGATTTCGCAAGAACTCGCGCAGAAGCTTTTTTAGCAAATCAGTGCTGCGAAACCCTGTGTTTTTGTATGTTTTTTGGAAACTCGATTGCGAAATCCTCCTGGCACCGAAGGTTTTTGAAGGATTTCGGCATGCGCGCGCGACGACGCGCGCGTGCGCGTGCAAGGGATTCGCGAAAAAGTGTTATGTTAGAACAAAAACATGTCACCGCATAGTGTTTTTTACAAGGGAACCTCAGGGGGGGGAACCCGGCCCCCCTGGGATAGTGTAAATTCATATTTGGGATGAACATGTGGTCATAATCATATCTGATTTACATACCCGGAAGGGGGAGTGATAACGCCGGGGGGGGGTAGATCTTATTCTGTTTTTAGAAAGAGAATCTAGACGGCGGCGACGGGGCGTCGACGGCGACCACATAGCTGCCAGACCGACGCGCAGGCCCAGATGACGAGCAGCGACGAGGCGGCGACGGGGCGGCGACGGCAGCCGCAGCCGCCAGTCCGCCGCGCAGTCCCAGACGACGGGCGGCGACGAGGCGGCGACGGGGCGGCGACGGCGGCCACAGCCGCCAGATCTCCGCGCAGGCCCAGGTCCTCAGAAAAGAAGTGAGACCCCCTAGGTACAGGCAATGTTTGGGGAATATGAATTCGACGCGGATTCGACGCGGACAGTGGCGCGATGGGACAGGCTAGGTGTCCCGAGGATGCAACATAGGCCTAGGGTGATGGTCATCGTCCCAGAGCGTCTTGTAACGCAAATCTTTTCGGGTAGCGCCCAGCGCATCCTCCAGGCCAGCCAACTCAGCTCTCAGAGATTCCCGACTTATTCGAATTTGTCCTCTTCCAGCCTTCGTCTTCGCGGGCGCTACTTCTGTCCAGATCCACCGCAGCTTTGAGTTTCGGGCTCCCTTCCCCAGAAGCCCGAGGCGCACTGGATATGGATGAACATCTGGCCCCTGGAAGCTCGATATGTATATGTCCAGTGTGCCTCGGCCTTGCGGCGCCCCTTCCAAGAACGTCCAAGGCGCATTGGATGTGCGCAGACGTATCGCCCGCAGTCCTCGCCCGGTTTCGCCACTGCGACCTCGGTGCGCCACCGAGGGAGCCGCCGCAGCGTCCGTGGAGGCGAGGGCGAGGCACGGCGCCGGCGCGGCGACGATGGCGGCCCCCCCCCCCCCCCCCTGCGCGCGCCGCCCGGGCGCGCCTGCCAAGACATCAGGTCAGCGCTTGCCCCTGGGCCTCTCCACGGCTCCTGCGCCCATCTTGCGCACGCCTTCGGTTCGTCCCTCCGACCCCGGCTCCTACCTTCACGGGTGGAGAAATTGCACTCGTCGGCGTCACACTGGCATGTTGATACCGTGTGTGTGTGCGTCGCCCCCCAAGGGGCGACGCGCGCGCCGAGAAACTTTATGATATAAGCTCCGTGACGGGCGCTTTTTGGCTATACCGCTAGGGAAACGATATACTACAAGATGGTTTGACTATATGTTCGGGTCGGACGCACGCCTCCGAGGAGAACATTCAATACTAGCATGTTCTTGTGCGTCCCACACTCGCGCCTCCTGCCCACGGCATATCTCTTGAGGTCCTGGCGCCCCTTGCGCTGCCCTCGTAGGGCCGGTCCCGCCAGAGCGACATCACGCGCCCTCCTCGCTTCGCCTCGTCCTGCTGGGGCCTACGGCAGGTTCGCGTCGTGTCGACGGGCGGCGATCTCGCCGCTGGCGTTCAAGGTTGAACCGCCGCTGGCGACCCAGAGTCGGTCGAGATTGAACGATCTGACGTCTCGAAAACGAACGATCGTTCAAGGTGGAATGATCCCCGCGGTGTCAGGAGGCAACGCTGGGGTCGACACGACACGATCACGCGGTAACCTTTCTCATGCACCTCTTGGCACGTCAGATTCGGCATCGGCGCTGGCATGCCTGGCCAAATCAGGGTTGGCCCCACTTGGTTTCGCTTGAACCTTGGCTGAGTCTGGCTCAATCTGCCTTGATGGCTCCCTCATCAGGCCTCCTAGCTCCCGATCCGTCCCGCGAAGACATCCCAGGAGCTGTCTGCTGACGCCCCGGCCCGTTCTCCAGACCGCGCCGCGCCGGCGGCGCCCCCGAGGACTCCCAGGACGGTGGCGGCGGTGACGGCGGCGGCGTCGGCGACCAGTGCTCGGGGCTCCCGCGAAGGCCTCGGGAGTCCGCGAGGCCACGGGCCGAAAAGTCGTGGGCGGGAGGCACGTCCACACCCGTGGCCTCGCGGGCGGGGCGCTTTCTCGCGGCTGCCCCGCGCGGAGCGTCTCCGTGCGACCGCGTAGTCCACGGGATCGCGGCCCAGAGTCCAGGCTCCGCGAGGCCGTGGATACGGATGTGTGCGCCGCTCGTGAGCGGATGTCCGCGAACTTCGATCCTATCTCGAACCCCGGACCTCTCAGGGGCAGCGATAGGGGGGTAGGAACGGGGGGGGTGCATCGGCCCCCAATCGGCCATTCATCGCCGACAGGGGCCCGATAGCCCCAACCTGCTCAGGAACGTTCAGATTCACTACCGGGGGCCTCTCGCCGATCTATCGGCGTTATAACGCCGATTCCATGTCGATGTTGCCCCCCCCCCCCCCGCTATGCCAGCCCCCTCTCTCGTTGCCCCTCAACCTCGATCCTGGAAACTCGAACTTTAGGCCTCCTAGACGGGGTCCGAGTAGATGGGGTCGGAGGATCGCGCCGCATCGCCGATGCATCGGCGATGCGGCTCGATTCGGAGCCCGATTTTCTCCACGCTGGCGTCGCCGATGCATCGCCGATGTCGCCGATGCATCGCCGATGCTTTTGCGATGTATCGCCGATGTATCGGCGATGCGGCGCGATCCTCCGACCCCATCTACTCGGACCCCATCTAGGAGGCCTCTACGAACCTGGGTCCTCGATCCTCGGTCGTCGGACGACTGTCGACGGTCGACGGCGGCGGCGGCCGCAGCGGTCGGAGCGATCGGCCGCGGCGAGGCACCCGGCGCGACGAAGAACCCGCTCTTCGGGGAGTGAGCTCTTCCATTTCTTCCACGCGCAGGGTGGGGCGTCGGGGGAGGATTCACGGCCACCGCTTCCGCGAACGTACCTTGTGCCATATCAGCTTGTTCTTCGGGGTGGCGTACAGAAATCGTGCCCCCAGGGGATGCCAATTTTGTGCATAACCACCTCTCCATGGTCTTGTGCGTGACCTGCTTGTTAATGGGGGTGGTGTACAAAAGTCGTGTTCCCAGGGCGGGGCCCTCTTCAGGGGCAAATGTTAGGGTTGTGGCCAGGGGAGGGGTGGGCTCGAGGTTCGAGGTTGGCAGAGGACGAGGAGGCGGCGGCGGCGGAGGCGGTGGACGAGGACGAAGAAGAGGAAGAGGATGAGAATGAGGATGATGCTGATGATGATGATGCTGATGATGATAGGAGGAGGATGAGGACGAGTTGGAGGAGGAGGAGGAGGAGGAGGAGGGGGTCGGGGAGGGGGGGGGAGGAGGAGGAGGAGGAGGAGGAGGAGGAGGAGGAGGAGGAGGAGGAGGAGGAGGAAGAGGAGGAGGAGGAGGGGAAGTAGGAGGAGGCGGAGGAGGAGGAGGATGAGGGCCAGTCGAGAGGCGGTGTCCCCTGTCGTTTGTCGTTCCTCTTGAGCCTCCTGGCAACGTCTCGTCGCCGCGGCTGGATCCGTCTCGAAGACTTGTCAGGACAGATCTCCCCCGGAAGGGGCAGGGAACCGATTTCGGGCGGATCTGGGCCAGGCGGGGGAGCCGCTGTTGTCTCAGCTGGCCCTCCTCCTTGCACGCCCGAGATGGGAACAACACAAGTCTCATAGAAGAACAAACGCCATGCTCTCCGCGCGGATCTCTTGGATCCGCGCTGGGCCCCCCTGGCGGCGCCTCCAGCGCCGCCCTTGGCGCGCTCCGCGCGCCAGGGAGGGGGCCGGCGCGGCTTCAAGAAATCCGCGCGGAGCGCCAAACGTTTATGTCTATGTCGTTTTTCCTCCTCCTAAAACATGGGTGCGATGCCCAACAACACATGCTGTCCAACACCGCCAGCGGCCGCTGCTGGGCAGGCGACCTCTGTCCCAAGTGGCGACGCCGACAGCGAGTCCTGCTCAAATTTAAGAGGACGTGCTGTCTTGCTTCGTGCCCTTGAGTCGGGCCTGTCTCTCTTTCTACAGGAGGAATGCTCAAAAATAGGCAAAAATCAGTCTGGGAACGATTTTGCGACCAGTTGTTGGACTATTTCTGCACATTGTTTTAGGTCTGTTTTTTCCAGTTTTCGTCCAACATCCGCCTGTAGGGGGACATGCCCGACCTAATCGCACCCATCCACTATTTCCGTTTGTGCCCACTTCGATCGTACCGATCCTCCGTCATCACGAAGGATGCGCTCCAGCTTCGGCCCGTGGGGCACAGCCTCTGCCGTGAGCTTCCGAGCGACAGCCGTCCGTCGGCGCCCTCCGTTCCCTCCCCGCCCGCTGTCGCAATTGCATCACCTGCCGCTCTTGTCGAAGCACGAACTAATTTACACCAGAGAAGAAAACCAATCTGTGGATGGTTTCAAATGGGATCGATGAAGAGATCTATAAGGAGATCGACCAGGAACCGGGGAACCTGGGCACCCGGAACCCACCGAAATCGGACCGGAACAAATGACCAGGAACCCGGGAACCCAGAACCAGGAACCCAGGAACCCAGCCAGCCACCAAAATCGGTGGGAAACTTTCGCCAAGTTTGTCAATTTCCGCTAGGACCCCTTCAGTGCAATCACTGATTGGAGAAAAACTGAGTAACATAAAACAAAGAAGATCTGTCGTTCTTGCCGAAAATCAAAAACTGTGTAAACAGAAACGTTCGGCGCTCCGCGCGGATCTCTTGGATCGGCGCTAGCACCTCCCTGGCGGCGCCCTCCAGCGCCGATCCCAGAATCCCGAGCGGAGCGCTGGCAGTTCATGTTTATGTGGATTCTCTTTCTCTATCTTCGCCGTCGTTGGATGCCCGTTGCCGTCAACGTTATGGGGTCATCATCATACTTCGCTATGCGGCGAGTGGGTCATGAGGAACCAGGCCCTCACTTCTTTGTTTTTTGTGTGCGGTGTTGGCTCGTGGGGCCCTCCTCACGTCCCAGGGCCTTCAATTAGCGATCAAGGATGAATGAGTGGCCCCAGCAGTGACGAGCGAACAACACGCACCCATACCCATAGGGGGGAAGGAGGGGGCTATGGGTGCGTTTTGTCCGATGGGGGTCCGCGCTCGAACGGGAGCCTCTCCCAGGGTCCGACAACCCCCGCGCCCATACCCATAGCCAGTCCTCTTCCCTCCGAACCTCAAATGGGTATGTGTGTGTATGTGTGTGGTTCGTTGGTCACAGAAGAGGAAGGCCCTGGGGTCCCAGGACCCATTTCCCTGTCATGGCAAAGCGCCATCGAGGCTTTCGGTGTACACCTGCACACACCAGTCCTTTTGGCGCCAACATCGCAGGGCGGTTTTCGTTCGGTAACGATAGGATGGGCCCGGCCTGTCCTGGAGAGTTTCGCTCCGGATTTCGAGGTGAATTTCGTGTGGATTTTGTTTGGCCAGGAAAAAACATCCACGCGAAATTCACTTCGTTTTTCACTCGCTGTTTCGGGGTTTTGCTTCTGCCGAAATTCACGCAAAAATCCGCTGCAGCACGACTGCAGGGTCGGTGCAGTGACCAGTCCTGGCCGGGCCGACCCTGGGCCCAGGAGGTGCCCGACCAGGACGGGTGCGGGGATCTAGTGTTATGTCGGGCGTGTCCCCCTACAGGGGGATTTTCGACGAAAAATAAAGACTATTTTTTTGATTACTTTTGGGGGATTTTTTATTCTTCGTCGAAAATCCCCCTGTAGGGGGACAGGCCCGAGTTAAATCTAGTGGGAGTCCTCCCGATTGGCGTCGTGACCCTCTGGCCTTCCCCTCCCCGTGCCTCAGAAAATGGAAGAGGTACGCCTGCCGTCACCATTCCCTCGTTTCCCTTCTTCTTTGGGGGGGGGGGGCTCCTGGGATCGGGGAACCCAAAGTGGCATAAACATAAAACTCGGAGGTGCGCGCGGATTTCTCGGATCGGCGCTGGGGCCCCCCGGCGGCGCCTCCGGCGCCGCCCCTGGCGCGCTCCGCGCGCCAGGGAGGGGGGTCCAGCGCCAATCCGAGAAATCCGCGCGGACCTCCGAGTTTTTATGTTTATGTAATTTTTTGTTCCCCTATGGGAGGCCCTCGTCGCCACCGTTGGATTCGCCTCGAAATTCTGGTCGGAATGCACCCAAGGAGGGCTGGGAGAGGAGCGGTATCAGTACCTTTGGGGTTGTTTCCCCAGTGCCGGAGGCAGTTTTTCTGCCGCCTCTTGGAGGCTTCGCTGGGGCGTCTCGGGTGCTTCGGGAGGGCTCTCGAGGACATGTCGGAGGTGTTGAGAGCAGTTGGCAGGAAAGGCTCCCAAGGCCCCCTCGCTTCCCCCATCGGGGTGCCCTCCAGGGAGCTTGTTGGGCCGTCTTGGTGCCCTCTTGGGCCGTCTTGGGGGCTTCTGGAGCTGTCTTGTGGCGATCTTCGTTGCCTCTCGGGCCAATTTGGGAGTCCTGAAGAGTGAAGGAGCGAGTGACAACCTTGCGTACATCTGTCGTAGAAGACGTAAGAACAGCTTGCGCACAGCTGTCTGCCAGCGGGGACCCGAAATCAGTAGTTTTGAACTGTGGGTGTGCAGGTTTTGACGTGCAAGCTACTTGGTGTGAGCCATGTCTCGCAATCTATAGGACGCAAGCTAGCGGTGCAAGCTATGTGGTGCAAGATTTGTGGTGCAAGCTATGTGGTGCAAACTATGTGGTGCAGGAGATGCGGTGTAAGCTGTGTGGTATAAGCTATCACGTGTAAGCTGTGTGGTGCTGTCTATGTTGTGGTGTAAACTACGACGTGTAAGCTGTGTGTAAGCTGTGTGGTTTAAGC